ATTTACAGGAGAAATTCTTGTGAGGCTGTGCCTGTAAGAAAGGGGGCAGTGCCCCCCAAAAGCCCCACCGTAGGTACGGGCCTGCACTACAGTCTCTGAAACCCACCCAGAGCCCCTGCTTAGCATCCGTGGAGGCATAACACTCTTTTTCAATCTCCTAACCCTGGTTAGGAGGTCGGGTGTACCCCGCTGGTTCACAACCTTCTCCCTTCTCCTGTTGCAAGAATCCCTTGGCCTTTCGTTTCAGGAGTGAACTGTACTGTTCCGCAGTGACATTCTCGCTAACCGTGGAGATAGATCAAGATGAGTAGCCGTGTCCGTCTGCCTGTAGCAGTAGAAAAGAGCAAGAGTCCAGGAGCACCTGAAAGACTAACAAAATATGTGGCAGGGTCTGAGCGTCCATGAGTCACTGAAGAAGTAAGCAGCGACTCACGAAAGCTCCTACTCTGCCACATATTTTGTTAGTCTTTAAGGTGCCACTGGACCCTTGCTCTTTTCTGTGGCTAACCGTGGTTAGTGCCAGACCACAACCATGGTTAGAAGGTGCAGGTGTAATGCTAGCCATGGTTAGCAGTGAGAACGGGGCTTGGCCATGTTTCCCTCCCGTGACCAGAGGCAATACGTTTTTTTGGAACGAGTGGTGCCGAGGAAGGGTTGTTCACTAATGACAGATTTTTGGTGGGAAGAAGAGAGCCAACGTGGTGTAGTGGTTGAGAGCAATGGACTCTAATCTGGAGAACCGGATTTGATTCCGCACTCCTCCGCATGAAGCCAGCTGGGTGACCTTCGGCCAGTCACAAGCTCTCTCAGAGCTCTCTCAGCCTCAAAATAAGTCTAGCTCACCACTAAAGAGCTAGAACTCCAGGCTGCCGGACAATATTAGGATCTCTTGGGCCGTGTTCCCTCTAAGCTGAGTTAGGGTGAGCTAGCTCACAGTTTTTTAGCCTCCGGCTCACACATTTTTGTCTTCGCTCAGGAAGGAGGGCTCCAGAGCAGTGTTCCCTCTAAGCTGAGTTAGGGTGAGCTAGCTCACAGTTTTTTAGCCTCCGGCTCACACATTTTTGTCTTCGCTCAGGAAGGAGGGCTCCAGAGCAGTGTTCCCTCTAAGCTGAGTTAGGGTGAGCTAGCTCAGTTTTTTAGCCTCTGGCTCACACATTTTTGTCTTCGCTAAGGAAGGATGGCTCCAGAGCAGACTAATTTCTGCAGTAGCCGAATCGCTCGCTCACAACTTTAATGCCAGTAGCTCACAAAGTAGAATTTTTGCTCACAAGACTCCGCAGCCTAGAGGGAGCATTGCTCCTGGCTATACTAAACACAATGCCATACGATAATTAATTCATTAATTTGGCGGGGAGAGGGACGGGCAGGGCTAAGTATGGCTTCTCACTGGTCCGGGGAAAGATCTGGTACACGAGTCCATCCCATTCAACCGCTCTCAAATCCGTCAACTGATAACACAGCCCTCCACCGCCAAAGGAGTTTCTTCTTATTTACCAGTAAGGGGTGCCGATGAAAGACATTCTCCGGGCAAAAGTAGCGCTGATTTGTGCCGAGATTCCAAAATCCGCTGGAGGAGGGGCAGGAAAAGACAGCAGTCACTCTTTTAGCGACACGCAGAAAAACCAAAAGTCATCCAAAAAACATGTTGCGCACCTAGAAATGCAGAAACAGACAAGGAACCCGAGGGAAAAGGAGACAGCAACTGGCCAACATTCACATTGCGCCGCGTCAGGGCAAGCTCCGCAGTAATTTTATTAGGATGCTGGCCAAGGCAAAAAAACATTTATGCGGCATCTTGCTCAAACTGGGCCGCTTCCCAAGGCAAAGCGGCTACGCTCACCATGATCTTGCCAGATGGATCTTTTTTTTAAATCAGGCTCCTGTTACAGCTGGCCATGCGCAGCACTGATTGGCACACAGCTGTAGCGTCACAAGCCCCATATTCTTGGGGCACAGTTGAAATACTGGCGAGGGAGGGGGCGGCCGGGTTGGAAATGAAAGCAGGAAACAAACTTCGGATTGCTTACGCAAGGCGAAGAGCACAGGAGCCCCGCAAGCCCGCATATACTAACAGAAACCCCAGTGGGAATCAGGGGTCATTTCCTGCAGGAGCGCACAGGAATGGAGCTCCGGCAGTAAGGAGCCCAGGGGGTGGGCACATGCAACAAGCCCTGCCCCCTGCTCCCAGCAGCCCTCAGTTGGGCCACGAGGAACAAGAAGCAGCCAGGTAAGTTCCAGAGCCCCCCCCACGGCCCGCCTTCAGGTACAAGCTCTCCCTCCTCTGTGAGGGCAGATCTGCGCGTTCCCCCCCAAAAAAGCTAGCAATCCAAAACAGTCCAGCGGCACCTTTAAGACCAAGTTTTATTCAGGTACAAGCTCTCCCTCCTCTGCGAGGACAGATCTGCATGTTCCCCCCCCCAAATAGCTAGCAATCCAAAACAGTCCAGTGGCACCTTTAAGACCAAGTTTTATTCAGGTACAAGTTCTCCCTCCTCTGCGAGGACAGATCTGCGCGTCCCCGCCCCCAATTAGCTAGCAATCCAAAACAGGAGCCTGAGCGGTGGGTGTCGCCTTCTGACACACTTCCTGTGATGTCGGGGGTGTGGCCTATGCAAATAAGGTATGCTAATAAGTTATGCTAATGCGCTCCTGCACCTCTTTTTCTACGAAATGACCCCTGCCGGTGATGCTAGCAAGCTCTGAGCTGGACGGCCCAGGCCAGCCCAAACTCATCAGATCTCAGAAGCGAAGCAGCGTCGTCCCTGCTCAGGACTGGGATGGGAGACCACCGGGGAAGTCAAGGTTTGCTACGCAGAGGCAGGCAATGCCGAACCACCTCTGCTCATCTCTTGCTGTGACCTGGATGGCCTAGACTAGCCCCATCTCAATCGGCTCTCGGAAACTAGGCTCAGCCCTGGTTAAGTACTTGGATGGGAGACCACCAAGGAAGTCCAGGGTCGTTTTCTCCTCTCCCACTCTCTCGACATGGCCTTCCATGGCCGCTCCCTCTCTCGACATGGCCTTCCATGGAGACACAGGACTGTCTTTGCAGGTCTCTCCTGAAGAGACAATGCCCCTCATTCTCCCACACACACACACGATGACGAACAAGCTGACCATTTGTGAAAGGGAATAATGTCCTCTTTGGATCAGGCTCCCTCCTCTCTCCTTCCGACTGCAACCTGAGCATGAACTGGATCTACTCGGGTAAATGTACATTTTACCATTTTTGCAATATGTTTCTTGGCAGGGCTCTTTTTGTAGAAAAAGCCCAGCAGGAACTCATTAGCATAATAGGCCACACCCAACAGCAGGAACTCATTAGCATATTGGGCCACACCCCTGACAGCACCGCTCATGAGCATATTGGGCCACACCCCTGACCGCACAGCTCATTGGCATATTAGGCCGCACCCCCATGTTACCAGAAGTGTAAGTGTGGTCATCCAGCCACACCCACCTTTTGCTTCTTATTCTGTTTACCTTGTTTGTTGTCAAAACCCAGGGGCTCTTTTTGTAGCAGGAACTCCTTTGCATGTTAGGCCACACACCCCTAATGTAGCCAATCCTAATGCGTTCCTGCTGTTGGGTGTGGCCTATTATGCTAATGAGTTCCTGCTGGGCGTGGCCAACTTGGGAGCCAGCCGGAACTACCGTTCCTGTGCGTTCCTGCCCAAAAATAGCCCTGTTTCTTGGGAGATTTATTGACTGCCCTCGGAATCACGCTTCTACGACTGGGCAGAACTCTGCTTTATTAACCTAATGCCCCAGGCTTCTGAACATCTCTTGCCTTGAGAACATCTCAAAAGAGTGCTGTTTAAAACTTCAGGTCAGGAGACAAACAGGGAGAGCTCAGGCTAGTCAGCTCACAGTTTTTTAGCCTCCAGCTCACACATTTTCGTCTTGGCTCAGGAAGGATGGCTCCAGAGCAAACTAATTGATGCAGTAGCCCAATCGCTTGCTCACAACTTTAATGCCAGTAGCTCACAAAGTAGAATTTTTGCTCACAGGACTCAACAGCTTAGAGGGAGCATAGCCTGGAACCATTATTGGGGGGGGGCTTGGATCTCTCTCTGTGTCAAACCCTGCAGGCCTGACACCCCCTTCCTGATTCCATATCCCATGGGGCTAGCCACAGTGGGAAAGGGCCCCAGTGAAACATACCGAGTTTGACTTCCCCGCGGTCGTTGAGGAGGACGTTGGCTCCCTGAAAAGTAAACGGGTACAAAAAAACAAACGTGAGAATGTGGAGGGTGAAGCAAGCTGGGGATTCCTAGCCTTAAGAACGTAAGAAGATAAGAGAAGCCAATGTTGGATCAATGTTGGCCCATCCAGTCCAACACTCTGTCACACAGTTACCAAAAATACCAGGTGCCATCAGGAGGTTCACCAGCGGGGCCAGAACTCCAGAAGCCCTCCCACTGTTGCCCTCCCCACAAGCTCCAAGAAGACAGAGCATCCCTGCCCCAGACATAAGAACATAAGAGAATCCAGTGTTGGATCAGGCCAATGGCCCATCTAGTCCCACACTCTGTGTCACACAGCGGCCAAAAATACCAGGGCCCATCAGGAGGTCCAGCAGTGGGGCCAGGACACTAGAAGCCCTCTCACTGTTGACCACCCTAATTGCTCTTTAGGATATCTGCAATGGTTCATTTCCTGTCAGGAAAAGCACAGGTTTGAAGAAGAAGAAGAAGAGGAGGTGAAGGAGGAGGAGAGGATTGGATTTATACCCCGCCTTTCACTACCCGAAGTAGTCTCAGAGCAGCTTACACTCTCCTTTCCCTTCCCCTCCCCACAACAGACACCCTGTGAGGTAGGTGGGGCTGAGAGAGCTCTTTCAAGGACTGCCCTTGAGAGAACAGCTCTGAGAGAACTTGTGACTGACCCAAGGCCACACCAGCAGCTGCGGGTGGAGGAGTGGGGAATGAAACCCGGTTCTCCCAGATTAGAGTCCGCGCTCCTAACCACTACACCAAACTGGCTCTCCAAAAAG